AAGTTATTTTATTGCAGTGATTAATTTGACCTATATGTAGAAAATGTTACATTTACATCACTCTGTTACATCCAGAAGGGAAACTTCACCAAAGTGAAACATAAATCTGTGGATCTGTGTTTGATTACTCTGCCTGGCTTTCTCAAGGACCAGGATGTGACACAAACATCTGAATTATGGAACTGAAAGTGAAAGTAGTCAAACTGAATTTTTAATAAACCAAAATACAGATTCAAAGCAAATTAATTCAGATGCAAAACTTTAAATTTAGTTTCAATTTAGTGAAATTTATTTTCAAACCAATGCACATTTAGATTCAATCTGAGCAATTCAGATTCAATTCCTGCTGGCACAAGATTTATTCCATAATAATGTGTCGTCACTGCAGCTGAAAGGGGCTCTAGAGCTGAGGCCTCGGGGGTCTTTATGACCCCAGGGCAGCAGCGGGGTTAAAGATGCTTGTTGTAGTGTCATGAAGAGTGGTCAAATCAGCGAGCTGTGAGCAGCAGGAGGAGGCAGTATATGGTTCTTCCACATGCTACTAAGACCCAATAAACACCAAACAAAACCACTAATGTATGTTTCTAACAAATCTGGCTCCATTTAAATAAATAAATAAATAAATAAATAAATAAATAAATAAATAAATAAATAAATAAATAAATTCCCACACTTTCCATGATTCTACTCTGTTTTCTTTAATTCTGTGATCTCTTTGCTGAAGGTTAGAATCTGGTTTCAGCTCATAGTTTATCCATCATGTCAACGGTCTGCAGATTCAAACACTTTCACTTTTAGTTTCAGGCACGCGCCGCTGCATCAGAAACCGTATCTGTAATTCATGTTCGTGCGCCGGCGGCTGGCGCGTACCGTCACATCAGAAAGTTGGCATGGAAACAAGCAGAGAGGACACGATGAACCCAGGCACCTGTAGCTCCAGTTTCCTGCGACTGCACACAGAAACCCATCCTCAAACACACAATCCACACACAGACATGACAGACACCCACGGGCTGCCTGTTTTTAGCAAAATAACCTAATTTTCAAACCACTTTCCTCATAAATGGATCAAATAAATTTACCACTAACCATCAAGAGCTCAAAAATCTGTAAGAAAAATAATAAAATTTGCCCAAGTTTGGATTCTAAGCCACTGATTTTTCATAAAAAACAATTTTATCTGCATTGTTTATACAAGCTCGATTTTTTTACAGCATAAAAACTACAAATGGTTCAACTTTCAGCAGAGCTTCAAACAAAACAGCTTTGTTCTGTGTACATTTGGGACAAACAGCATTTCTAAGAAAAAAAAACAGCCCAAAGGAACGAAAATTGTTTTTCTCAACTTTCTGAGTTTTGAAGCTGTAGTAAAATAAACACGAGTCACAACCAAAGCACAGGTTTATCACCTGAGTCAAACAGAACCCCCCC